CAGCGGTGCCATACGTCGGCGGGTCTGTTTTGCTAACTGTCGCGGCAGAACAATAGGATGCTGTGGGTGATCCTGGGGGCGATAGGAGCCCGGTGGATCATTTGGGACGGATTGTTTTGGCGATCTATTGGTTTCCCGAGAAGTTTTTCGATGTGTCTCTATGCTGTCGCGGGAGTGTAAAGAGGAATAGGGGAACGCATTGAGGAGGAGAGATATGTGTAGCGATCTCTGGAAGGAGAGGAAGTCTTTGATTCTGTTTTGCATATGCGCCTCTCTTCACTACTCTTTTAGCGAGTCAGGGGACGAACGGGACAGCGAAGCTTCTAACCATAACCTCTTCCACACAATCAGAGTCCAGAGCTATTTCCCCCACTATACCACTCCGCTACTTGTTAGTCCCACACGCAACCGTTCGATCCTCTTCCCGTGATATGGCCGGGGAACAGGTGTTACCTGAAGCGCTGTTGCGGTAGTCAGAGTGGTCACTTGGAATTGGCTTGGGCGATATGCGTGGCTCCTTATCCTGAGCCTAAGGATGTGCAGAAGCAATTTCTCGGGAAGAAGATCTATTGTACGCCCCTAGTTCACATTACGTGTCAAATATTACCGTAGTGATAACAAGTCTGGGGAAGAAGAGCCCTTATCTTTGGTTTCCAGTCCGTTGAGTGGTCGGCTTTTTCTTTTCTCGTTATATTGAATTCCCGAGAAGAAACAAGAGGTAAGTGGGAGCCGCTGGGATTAAAAAAGTGTGTGTGTGAGGGTAGGAGAGACTATGATTGGACCAAAGCGATAGTCATTAGAAAGGATGGGATGATCAGGAAACCGTAAATAGTAGGGAATAACAGACTTCATTGTTTGACGCTTTTAACACCCCGCTTTTTCTTCCCCTCCTCATCCTGTGTTCTCTGCTATCCTTCGGAGGTGCCTGTCGGGAGGCAATCCTATGCCGGGCACCTTAATCGCACAACAAACGCCTGCAAAAAAAGACCTTCCAATTGTACGATACCCCCCACCGCACTCGCCCACCTCCTCTATCCTTCTCTCTTTCTGCGATTCCCTTAGCCATATCAGCATAGCACACCCCCTGCCAAGGTCGTGCTCGCTGCAAGCTATCTCATATCCTGATATCAGGGTGGGTGCAGCTGGGCTTGTTCGAGGGGTAGTCCCGGAAGCGGGTGTTCGATCAACTTGTACTGCGCAGCTAGGAATGGAGTTAGCCTTGTATAGCCGAACGCCAAGAACAGTACTCACGTTGCTAAAGTACGATGAAACTCTAAAACTTGGAGGAGGGCGGCTCCGCAAGCTGTGGTGATATCGTTTGCGTATATCCTAGTCTTGGGGCGCTCCTGGGGGATTGTGAAACAGCTGACTTTATCTTGGGGATTGTCTTTTTCTCCTCACTCAACGTTTACAGGGGGTTGCTCATAGAAATAAAACTCCTCCGGAAGTGCTGGGAAGTGACCCGGATCTCTATTTTCCGGAGGAGGGAGATTCCCGATTCCTTCTCAAAAGTGCGGGCCGCGGCTCTCCTCTCGCGAAACCACGGCACCACGGGTTTCTATTGACTTGAATGCGCTTAGGTGACCTATCCTGAAATCAAGTGTTGGATCATGGGAAGAGTTAAATTCTTGGGAGGGTGACTAATCTATCATGGGAGAATCTCTTGTGACGCGTTAAATTCGGTTAATCCTGGAGTTTTCCCAAACCGATGCTGTTCTTTCTACCCACTAAAGTCCTCACTTGGCGTTCGTCATCCGGATAAATAATAACCCGTCCACCCTGAGAGTCAACCGGTCCGGGGGGTGATCCAAGAACAGTACAACTCTCACTCCCATGGTTGCCACCAAAGCCACTTTCAAAACATCTATCAGCATGACGCACTTCCGCCTATCTACTGAGTGACCCCAGCGGCAACAGCAGGCCCGGTTTGGCTGGCATGATGGACTAGGAGACAACAAAGTGGGGGCTTCGCTTATGTGGAGGGTGGAGAGAAGAGGGAGGGGGGAAAGAAGTCATTTCAGAAGCCCAACCCCCTCGGTTTTTTGCGTAGGTCCGTGTTACAGTGGTACAAGAATTTTTCGGATTCATAAGGTCTCCTTAGTCGCCTCCGGTAGCATAGTTATTATTTGCTTTCGGCGATATCCGAGAGAAGCGATATCCCTAGGTGAGGATAGTTGAGGTGAATCTTCAAAATTCCAAGCGGAGATAACACATAAAGTACCTCCCCAAAAGTGTTGGTGAAATGGGCTTTTTATCATACACCAAAAACATTGATTTTTC